TTGAAAGAGGGGTTATAATTTGTCAGATCAAAAGCCAACACATAATGTACTAAGCACAATCAGTATGCAAAGCATACTAATGCTACGAAGGTATGGGGGGGGGGGGCATGTCCCTCTCTAGAAAATTTGTAAAGATAAATACAAATAGGTGCTATGAGATTATTTGTTTGTTTGTTTGTTTGTAATTAAGCACAAAGCTACACAATGAGCTATCTCTGCCCACTACGGGTATCGAAAACCGGTTTCTAGCGTCGTAAGTCCGCAGACACTCCGCTGTGCCACTGGGGGGGGGGGGAAGCTAAGAAATTAAATCTGGAAACAATTTTGAGTGAAATATAGCTTAAACAATTGTATGGCTGTTAACATAAAAAAATCTATAAACATTCAAAACGTTAAATACCATAAGTAGCTATGCTTTGACTATATAAGCATAATTTTTTTTACATTACAAAAATAGAAACAAAATTCGCCCGAACCCCCCCCCCCTTCCTTGCGTATTTGCGTGGTAGTGACAAGGATTTCTTTGTGTGTGTGTGTGAATTCGCCGAGCAAAATATTCATGAACGAACAAAGTTAAAAAAACCTATTAATGAAAACCTACAAAATAATAGCTTGATTTTGAAACGACTAAAATCAGTGTTGTCATAGTAACAGTTGTAACACATGGCTTCTTCAATGAGACATCCAGTTTTTTTATTGTTTTTTTTTTAAGTCTTCCTTCAAGTCTGGGAGCCCATTTGATCCTTGGGCAGAGCACAGATAGCCCATTGTGCAGCTTTGTTGTGCTTAATTTCAACCAAACCAAAACCATTCGATCAGGGAGGGGCCGGGAGAAACTGCATACTACCCCCCCCCCATTCCTTGTAACCCAGCCCTGCCAATCAGATAACGTTATCGAGTGATTTGGTAAGAAAAATAGGTAAAAAATAGGAAAAAAAAGATAAATAAATCTGAGAACATCAGACAAACACGTCCAACTGTTGGTTTAGAAAAATATACAATCAAAAAAGTAAGGGAATAATGAAGGTGTAAAATGAAAGTTATTATTTGATCTCGAAATCTTCAACACGCTACTTTTAAGGATTTTTTTAATTCGAGAAACATTGTTCACTTTTTCTTGGATCCCACAGAAAGTGTTACCAGAATTCTGTTTGTTTGTTTGTTGAATTTCGACCAAAGCTACACGAGGGCTAGTGAAGTAGTCAACCCAAATTTTTTAAATTAAATAAGTGATAGACGAGAGGGTTATTCTTTACCAACGAAAAGTGGGATTGATCGTCGCTTTATAACGACCCCCATGGCTGAAAGCATGTTCGGTGACGGGATTCGAGCCCGTGACCCACAGATCACCAGAATTATACTTCAATTATTGTGTTTAGTAATCACTTTGAGAGCAGTGATGAAATTATCTATTTTTCCTTGCTTCATCAGATTTTATATTTATTTTTTTACAGTTTAAGTGATCTGTACTTCCTGCGCAGACGCTGAACACGAAGCTCCTAGTACGATGCTACCTTTTGATAATATTTTCTGCCAACACACCACAACATTTTAACCATAGGAGTGAAGTGTTCTGATATTATCATAAAATGTTGTCTTGTGCTTCGTGAAGCAACTAGATTTATCTCTAATAATTTAGATAATTTAATGTGAGACTCTCGAGATTATCAACACATACGTTAGGCTCAAGAAGTAAAACTCAGGTACTCGAGCTTTCCGATCAATGTCTTACGTATGAAACAAGTATATCCTAGAGATTATCAGCACGTACGTTAGGCTTAAGAAATAAAGTGCAGGTACTCGAGCTTTTCGATCAATGTCTTACTTATGAAACAAGTATATCCTAGAGATTATCAGCACGTACGTTAGGCTCAAGAAGTAAAACTCAGGTACTCGAGCTTTTCGATCAATGTCTTACGTGTGAAACAAGTATATCCTAGAGATTATCAGCACGTACATTAGGCTTAAGAAATAAAGTGCAGGTACCCGATCAATGTCTTACGTGGGAGAAAAATAAAATTGTACTAGACTGTCTTGATATCGAGAATACCAGTAATAATAATCTCACTTTACGCCATCATTTACTAAGCCTGTACATTAAACGTGGATGGGGTGATCTTTTTTCCGCCCTATTCTTAAAAATAAAACGGTTTGTTTGCGAGTGATGAGGCCAGTTCGGGGAAGGACATTTACAGACTTGCTTTCTCGCAAGGTTATCACTGATTACGAAATGTCCAGAATTACAGTGGCTCAGTGGTAAGTCCGTGGGCTTACAACGCTAAGAACCGGGTTTTGGTACCCGTAGTGGGCACAGCACAGATAGCCCATTGTATAGCTTTGTGCATAACAAATAAACATAGGATTAGATCGCGGTATGTCGTGGCCTGCTTTCGGAGAGTGTTGAAAGAACAGTTACGTTTTAAAGTATGTTTGGTTCGGACACTCGCGATAAGCTACACAACATCTCTCAACGCTGGCCGTCCATAATTTTGAACCGACAGATTATAAGTAAAACAGCTAGTCAACAGCTTCTACCGCCAGTTATTCTAATCGAATAGTGTGATTTGACTATCACTTGTAAAACGGCCCCCCATAGTGCAGAGCGAAATTTTATGGCAGCAAAGGGACGCGAACCATAAACCCTTGGATCAACATTCCGGCACGTTAATCACGAGGCCACGCCTGGCCTGTTTGAAGTCGGTTTCTCATAATGCAAATTAACAAGTTCTTTTACCATAACCTGCATGACAGCAGTCCCCCTTACAACAATTTACTACAGGGACGAACTTCGAGTGTAAAAATTCACGATTTTATGAACATTAAAACAATGGAGCGTGCTCAAGAGTTGATGTTTGTCACTAGAGGCCTCTCAAGAAACCTGTTAGG